AACCTTGCCATGCAAACCCAACACACTCCCTCAGAATGTATGGAAACAAATCACTCATTTGCAGAAATTGTGATGTTTTTGCAGTGCACTGGAGACATCATTTGCTTCCAGAATGGTTACTGTCAGGGAAGAGAGTCCAGGTGTCCCTTTTTAAGAGATCAAGTAGATGATTAATCACAATTGCAACAGCATTTAGCATGTCTCACAGACATGGCAGGGAATAGAGAACAAGGATTTGCTAATAAAAGCCACAATGTGTCAACAAAAATTTGTGAAGGCTTGTGGGATGCTGGCAGGTCTTAGCCCAATTATGACCATCTTCAGAACCTCTCGCATAATGTGCTTTTTACTTGGCACAAAATTTTCTTCATCTTAAACCTGCATAAAATGCACAGAAGTTTCTATTTGAAGGGCCAGAGCTTACTTTGCTTCTTGGTGGTGTTTATATTAAAGTAATAGATGTATAATGAAACTGTGTGATTTTTCAAGCTTGATGAAGTATCCTGCTACAGCGTCTATAATGGAATTGAGGCATTTGTTCATAAATGAAAATAGCTTGTCTGTAGTTTTGTACATCTAAATGTAGCAATGCAGGCAGTGCCCCTTCTTTATGTAGTCAGATTCACAAGTATTTGGGAGACGAGACTGTTGTCAGTTCCATTTAGCTTAAATATCATACTCCTAATTTTTTAAAGGTCAATACTATTAAAAGAAAGGTAGCTTATGATGCTTCCAGTGCTAAAGCCTCTTACGGTTCCTGTCCTACAGAAAGGAAACAGACCCATTGCAGTTGCATAGTGCTCTTCAGTAAAAGCATTGCACCCCAAGATGCCAGTTCATCCAGCCTAACTTTAAGCATGGTGTGAGCTGGTAGACAGCGACTGTTTGCCTTGTGTGCGTCTGTTAGGGAGCAAAGACCTCTGGAGGTGCCTGCCCAGCATTCTTCCAGTTGCCTATGCAATTGTATTTCTGTTCATGGCAACTGTTAAACACCAGAAGTAAGTAGAACCTGCATTCAAAGGGCAACAGGGCAGTAAAATGGAGCTCTTCCACTTAAATAATTCAGGTTTTAATCTTTCTTTTAGCCATGCTCTAGAATCGTACACAGCTCTTCCTTACGACATGCGCAGTCCCTGCCCTTCAAATCCAATCAACCGACCAGCTTACCAAGGCAGCAACCCCATCAGTGATGTTTGGGCTCTTCATGCTCTGCGCATTGTGGCTAAATATTTGAAAAGGTAGTACGTTTAACAGCTGCTCCCTTTGCAGGATGCTCGGTCTTCAGTGCCCAAAAAGGAACGCTTAGAAGAACTTGAATTTTAAGCTAGAATAAGGCAAACTACTACATTAAACTTTCGTTTTCTACTGTGGATTTCTCTTAAATAAAGAAAAAAGTTTTTCAGATAAAATTTAAAGTAAAATTAGGGTTACTAGATCATCTTGAGGAAGTGGCTTTTTAATGCCTCTGTGAATCTGTAAGTCCTCAGTTGAAGGTAGTTCAAGCTGCTCAGTTAATATGGGAGCAGCGTTCACGTATTTTTTCAAGAATCCTCTTTCCATGACAGTGTAAGAGGAATATGTAACAAACTAAAGGAAATACTGCTGGTGTAGTTTCCGTGGCCTTCAGTGTAAATTAAGATATTACACATCCATCAAGAAGGTAACCACGTGCACTTACAAATGTTCAAAATTATGCATTTACTGAAAACTAGTTCATACTTAGAAGACCTTCAACTTAGATTAAGTTTTGACTTAATTGGGAGTTGATTTTGATCCCTACTAATGAAGTTTTAGTCTGTATACGGGTTTTGTATACCATGTGCACTTCTATTAAAGACCAATGTGGGTTTTTTTGGTAAAAGGCTTTTTACAGTACCTAGCTAGTCATAGTAGTTGTTTATTGTACCTGTGGAATCTATTCATGAGAGTTTTTTTCCATGTCATCAGACTGCTTCTGTGTAGGAAGGCAAGGAACCCATCCTATTCCCACACAGATGGTGGGGTCCAGACCACCACCTAATGAGATGGTGAGAAAGCTGGAGTGATCGTGGAGCTGTACATACGGTTGCCAGAGCTCCTAAGGAGAATTGTTTAAACCACCACTGAGGGGAATATGGCTAAATTCGCTCTATTTACTTAGCTTTTGGAAAAGTGAAAGGAAACTTGCCCTTCACTGAACCAGTTTGATGTACTTACTGCTCCAGAAGCAGGATTGTTCTCTGGCTGAAGTATGACTTGATGCTATTTCCGATATGTTTATCTTGGCTTATCTTAGAGGTTTTTGTCTATCTGTCCATAAAGAAGCCCTCTCCCTTCTCCATCCTGAATTACCAATCTGTTTGTGAATTCATTGGTACCGTTGTCTCCATGGTGCACAGAGCCATCAGAAACCCTGAAGACCGTGAAGCAAGAGCCAACATGCACCTGGCAAGTGCTTTTGCTGGTATTGGCTTTGGCAATGCTGGTGTTCATCTCTGGTGAGTACAGAAAAATGTTAACCCCATCTGAGGTCAGCTTCTAGCTAGTGTTTGTTTCAGATTGTCAAAAACCTTGCTGCCATTGTTGCTGAATATATAATAAATGTCATAGCCTGGCCTGTGATGCAGGGGGAGCTGTGTGTTGTGAGAAATTGATGGGCTCCTGGTGTTTATTTGTATGAGGATTGTGTATTCTGGCTTGTGATACTCAAATCCAATCATGTGAAAATTCCAAAATGTGGCCTTCTTTACCTTCCTTGATAGTAAAAACCATAGTTAGAAAAAACAAACAAACAAACAAAACCCAACATCAATGCTATTTAAAATATTGAATTTCATGCCAGCTGTTCTGCAGTAAGACAGCAATGAGGTAATCTTGTGCCATTCCTGAACTGATGCAATTGTCTGCAAGTTTGTCTGTGGGGTAGGCATTCAGCAGGCTGAAATGAGCTGTAATTAATATTGCAAGGTAATGTAGTTTCACCTGGGTGAAAATCTCAGAGAAGCAAAGCCTAAGCCTGAAATGTGTGGAGAAGTTACTAGCAGTCATTCTTTTCAAAGACCATCCTTTCATTCCTTTTGTTTAAGCAAATTCACTCATTAATTATACTTTAATGTTTATTTTTCTCAGGCAGTGTGATCAAGTAGTGATGCAGAATATGCTATTTTTGGCATATCTGTATTACTTTAGCAACTGTATTACTTTAGTAATCTTTCAGTCCAGTCAGTGGAGTAATATAACTTCACACTCGCAAAGTAAGGAGTTGCTGGTTTTTACAGCTAGGTCTTTAGGGTGCGGAGAAATGAGGGTTGTCTCTACCTTATATCCATACCATACACCTAAATACCTTTTCAATACATTTACCTAAGAGACTTGCACACACAAGACTGACTGCACAAGGGACTGAACACAAATTTTCCAAATACCAGGAGAGCTGCCCTAACCACTCTCTCTACTCTCTGTTCCAGCCATGGAATGTCTTACCCTATTTCTGGTTTGGTGAAAACTTATAAACCAAAGGATTATAATGTGGATCACTCTTTAGTGGTAAAATTTGATTTATCTTTCTTTTCATATTATACATTTCAGTTCTCTGTTATCTCACATGAATGAGCATTAAAACACATTGAAGTTGAAAGTACATGTCCTGTTGATATGATTTTATTCTTTTTTGGTTTTTGTTTTTTTGTTTTCCCCAGCCACATGGCCTTTCTGTGGTGCTGACATCCCCAGCAGTGTTTGCTTTCACGGCACAGATACGTCCAGAGCGGCACTTGGAAGCTGCAGAGATACTAGGTAGGAATCTCTATGGATACGAATTACTCATACAAATGGAATTCTCTCCAAAATGTCTTTTGGGCAGGAAAAAAAATTGTGCAAGCAATTGTAGTTGGTTGTTGCACGGGTTTTAAGTTTAAAAAGCAAGATTCTGGAGTCTGAGTTACATATAATGCAAACTTAGGTAGAAGAATGCTAAATTTTTGTATTGGATGATGTAGTTAGAGAAGCAACCTGGAGAAATCTGCTTCTTGGCTAGAAAACTGGACAGCTGAAGTTAACTGTAGATACGTTATGAATCAGGAGAGAGTTGCTGTGACTGGCATCTCTCTTGGTGCTTTATGGAGAGTAGTTACTTTAGAGTAGATACCATAAAACAAACCAGTACTGAGGTGCATCTGTTAGCTAAAAGGAAGCATTTTGCCTAACAAATTCCCTGCTGCGGCACTGAATTAGGACAGAGTGGCGTTCTGCTCTTTTTTCCATGGCACACAACTGTGCATTTTGGTCTTTCTAATGTAGGCCTAAGCTTGTTTGTAGGTGTTGGAACTTCTCAGTGGGCAATGTCAAGGGAAAGCACGAAGTAGCTATTCTGTGGATGCATCTGTGATGGCTCAGAAGTGTGTTAATGAGCAAAGAGGCCTTTTCTGCTTCTTAGTAGAATAAAAGTAAATGCTGCAAGCTGAGAGCTCATTTAGAGATTACCTTTTCATACAGTGCTTTGTTATCTGTGCAACACATCACTGGAAGGTGTCCTTTAGAAAGGATACCTCTTCACTGCACCCCCAGCATGACTGTGTGTAATCTTGGAGCTGTTAGCAGACTAGCTGTGACTGCATGGCTCTGCGGTGGGTTAATTTATTTATATCTAAGGTCAGGTTTTTTGTCTGCGCTAGACTGTGTTGTAGCTAAACTGTTGCTCATACCCATGCTCACTAATAAGCAATCACAGTTATGAGCGTAGCAGTGTAGAGAGTAGAGAGAAAGTGGTTAGGGCAAATCTCCTGGCATTTGGAAAATTCGTGTTTAGTACCTTGTATGGTCAGCCTTCTGTATGCAAGTCACAGCTGTCCGGTCACATAACTTATACAAGAAAGTTGTACATCTGAAAACATTGTGAGTTTCAAGAAAGAGTGGGACTTTTATAGACAATGAAAATATCCCAGTATTTTAAAGAGGGTGTAAAACACATGGCTGGAAAAACTATATTGGGGGAAATTCCATTTATTTTATAAATGTTGGCTCTGAGGTTTGTTCAGCCTTCTTCCGAAGTATGTGGTCCTGCCTGTGGTCAAAACCAGAACACAAACATAATTGGAATCATATAGAAAGCTACAAAATGTCTGTGTTCCTATAGCAGTAACACACAACTCAAAGTGGACTAAGAAAATGTTTCTGGATAACTGGCCAGCACAGCATATCAGAGAATTTGAATGCTAGCTCCTTGATTTTAAAACAAGTGGTTGAAAAGCAGTTCCTTTAGGTTTTGTGGTATGAGCTGCTGACATAAATTCTGTCTCTAAAAGCTCTGTTAATTTTCTCAATAGAAATTTAAACTATGATATTTTCTGTCTTGCTATAAAAGGACTCTGCCGAAAACATGTCACCTGGAATTGAATTTGTAAATTCCTACCTGGGGTGTTTACTTCTGATTCCAGGCCAGAGTCCAACTGACTACAGTAGTTGATTCAAATCTGTCATGTTGCCAAATGCAATGACTGGGAAGGTATTTTATGACATGAAGCAGATTACTAAATAGTTATGTTGTGTGTATGTACAGCTGTGAATTTGAGTACAGCCAGAAAAAGCTTAATACCTCCCTAGGTGGATTCTTAAACAGTTGAAATAGGTGTGTGTGTGGCCAGAAGTTTTCTAAGTGCAATCAAAGACTGATGTATCCTTTAGGTTGAGCAAAAAGAAGTACTAGATCTATAGCAATATTTTAAAACTGACCTTCACATTTACTGACCTTTTTTTTTCCCCTCCTCTCTAGATACTGGATTTATGTCCCAGTTTATCCTGGGTTTTGCTGTAGAGGAGTAACTCGGACTACATGGCATAATCCCAGTAGCATAAGACTTCGTACAAGACTTTGTCATACCTTATTTATCAATTTCTCCCGAACGTTATCTACTACAGTACTGCCAGTCTTACTACCCAAATATCTGAGCTCCTCAAATGAGCTTGTTGGTCTCCTGTTCACTTAACCCCCTTTGAATGTCACACTGAACTGTGTGAGGATCACAGAAAATATTTTTCCTTTAGCTATGTTGTGCTCTTATTCATCTCTCAGTATGGCACTTAGACCTAGCATAGTTCTGGTGTAACATCATTGAGGTTACACAGAGAACAAATTTAGCTCAGCTTACTTTGAAAAAAATCATATGAAGGAACCTGTGTCATCTATCTGGACACGTTTTTATTATTACTTTTAAATAAGTCCTGACCATTCATTGAAGAAGGGAAAGCAAGCTGTTCTGTAAGAAATATTGGTAATCTTTCCTTTTTTATTGCTGCTTTTATTACTGCTCAGTAGATGTTTCAAAGATACCGGTTCTTCCTCTTCAGTTCTACATTATCCTACACAAGTCAGCACATATTCAAATAGCAGTAAGTTTAGGATTTACTTAACCCCTTGAACGCTGCCCTGCCAACTCCTGTCTTTCCCAGCCTGCATGTTCTAGTCCGCTCTTTGAATGTGCAGTTGAACAGAATAGGTAGTGGTTTCCATGTCCTCTAGATGTCAGCAAACTCAAGGCCTTAAAGTAAAGTTAGCATTTGGCACACTATCCACAAAAATAAATACCATTGACGTTCATGCGTTAGCTTCTTTCCTCCCAGCAGTTAGTCAGACTGAAAAGTGCTTCTCGCTGTAAGCACAGAGGGAAAGGAAGTTAACATCATGTGGCAGTTAGTCTTTCTGGCAGCAGTTACCTGCTTCTCCTGATCTTGTTTTATTTCACCTTTTACAAACTATACCAACTGTAAAATGAAGACTGATTCCTCTTTTTACTTCATGTTGCTCTTAGGGCAGTGACTGTTCTGTATGGCTATGTATTCAGCTGATATTATGATTAAATTAAGTCCAGAACAGGCTTCCTCCGCTCTCTCCACCCTACAGTCAAGGCATTATGTCTTATTTTAGGAGCTGACATCCGCACTGCCAGAATCAAAGATGCGGGGTTTATTTTGGCAGACACGCTCCGGAAATTCCTATTTGATCTGAATGTTGATGATGGCTTAGCTGCAATTGGTTATTCTAAAGCAGACATCCCTGCATTAGTCAAAGGCACTCTGCCTCAGGTAAGACAGAAAGCAAAACAGGTTTTCTTGTCAAATAAAATAGAACAGATTTTTGAAAAAACAGAACTGTTTCTTTTCAAGCAAATATTATTTCTAATCCTACATGAAAGCAATTAAAATGGAGAAAATTATGGATAGTCAACTGTATTTTGTTTCTCTGCACAGTTTACATTTTTCTTTTCAGTGAGTTGGAGCGCATGCTGCAGTCTGTTCTTTGCATGGATTAAGAAAGAATGGCTAAGTGTTTGGTTGTGGTTTTTTTAAACGTCACATTTTTAAAAAAGAGGATGTTTTTCATAGACCTTTGATCTTTGTAGAAGGTACTGCTTTTTCATAACTATCTCTGTTAATTATTTATGCAGGATGGGTTATAGATTAAAGCCTTAATACCAAGTGCTATCTGGTAAGAACGATTCAGCTCACTTTGTATTAAACTTTTCCATATTGAGAAGTTGCACTTTTCTTCCCAGATGGCTTTTTTGTTCTATTGACCCCCATCAGAATTTGAAATAAGGTCCCGTGGGATGATATAGATTAAATTTGTAATACCCTTTGTTGTTTCAGTGCTCACAAAGACACTGCAAAAAGCAACACACCACTCCAAAAGCAAAATCTAGTGTCAGTTTGATTCATATGCTATGGACTGTTTTGTCTACTTAGGATTTATTTCCACCAAGTAGCAAGGGAAATAAACACTACAGAGAAAATGAAAATTTTGTAGGCTGAAAGGTTATTTGCTTTTTACAGCAGTACCTCTTACCACGTTTAGTTCTTCTCACTCATAAATCTTAGAGCAACTTAGAACATAAATATTAACATTCCTGTTTTATACCTGAGAAAATGGCACAAAGGTGCAACTATTTAGGATCACACACCATGGAGCAGTGGCAAAGCCAGGAAGAAAACTAAGGTCTCTGAGCGCCTATCAAATAGGTTATGCATGTAAATTGTTATGGGGCATTTTGGAGGTTTGTTTTGATAATTATGTTCCTTTAAAACAATTGGGTTTAGGTCATCACAAGCACATCATCTCACTGAAAGCATGTTTTGCATAGCTGGGGAACGTTCTTCACCAAAAGATGTTGACGGGTTGGTTTGTTTATTTGTTAGCTTAGCTCAAATTGACTTTTAATTCATTTACTGTCATCTCACGGCATTGATGATTAATTGTACTGTGTAAAATGAGATGACCTAATAGTTTCTCAAACCTCATTTTTGTATATGAGATGTAGCACAATGAAAATGTATTAGCCTTCCCTAATAGTCCATTGTTACCCACAGAGGTAATCCATGCAGTTTAATCTTTGGTATATTTTTTCTTTTCATATTGCAATCGGTTTTCTTTGGAATACAGCACTGACCCATTCACATCAGCAAGGCAGTGTGGTGCAGCGGTGACAGCACTAATAACTGTGTGGGCTGAATTCCACACTGTGAAGTGCAGGCTGCAGGAAAACAAAAGTTATCTACTCTATCTGCCAGGATTTGGGGTGGGAACTCTACTGGGACAAACATTTATACTTTAAGTTAAAACAGAATTTTATTTTCCTTTCTAAGTGAGTCTGTTGAAATCGATCCTGTTTACAGACAGCAGTGAGTGTAGCAAAGAAGATGCTGTCCCAAGGTCTAAGGTGGCCAGCCCTGTGATGGTGTTTGGGAGGAGATGGGGAGGACTGAAAAAGTGAGATGGTGGAAGCCCACCCACCCCCTGGAGACATCCCAGAGGCAGCTACAGTGGGGCTGAGCCGCTGGTGAGCTAGGAGTTGCTCATTTTTGGCACTAGACCAGAATGGACTGAGTCAGACTGGGTGTGCTGGGGCCTTGCTGTCTGGGCACCAGCAAATATCAGCAGGCTTGTGCAGAGGGAGTGCTCTGGTGCCTCTGTGTCAAGGCAGGCAGGAGGAGCATCTGTTTGCAACCTTCTGTCAATATAGCTGGGAAATGCTACAATCTGTCAGGGTGATCATCTCCTGTCACCCCATGCAACTTTACAGATAACTCTGTGCATCTCAGTGCACAGGGCTACAAAACTGTGGTTTGGCCCAAAGTGTCCTAATATAAGACTGATGAATTTACTGAGTGCTTGAGTACTGAGTTGTTATATTTTGCATATTGTGAGTCTGAAAAAAACAACATACTTTTGCCCTAGTGCTGTTTGAATTTTCCATTTCGTTTCAAAACTGCACAGAAGAATCTTAGCCTTTTCTTTGGCTGGGTATGTGTGCGTAGCAGCGCTGGTCAGGGATGGGGAAAGAGGTACCATTTGATTGCTGCTGCTGCACCAGCGAAGCTTCTCATGTAGGTGAAGTTATGCACACAAAGCTGCACTTTTCAGACTCATCACAAGCCATGCTAACATGCTGAGCACGATGATAAAGTGTGAATATCTCACAGCTGACTTCCTCACCATGCTAGACCAGTATTTCACGTGTTAAGTTCACAGCACGGTGGCATCTCTTGCTGTGTAACCACATCCAGCCTATTGGCAAATCGCAGCCCTGTGAGTTGTGAGGGCAGCGTTGCGCTGCAGCATTGTGCTGGGCAGGGGCGTGTGCTCCGTTCTGGAGGGTGTCTGAGCTGAGCCTCACCGTGTCCGTCCCCTCCCCGAGGCAGGGGGCTGGAGGAGCCCCTTGCAGAGGCAGAGCATCCCTCCTGGTGCGTGAGGCAAGGGCCCTAGCAAATGACATACACTGTCTCACGTGTGAAAAAGGAGAGGGGGGGGAAATTTAGAGCTTTTACTGGGACAGCTTCTTGCACAAGAGAGGTGTTGAAACAGGTTGCAGCAGAAGAAACTCCATCTTGCCAAAGTACACCATGTTAATCTAAAGATAACGCGTTCCTAGTGTAGGCCTGGCCTCTGTCTTTGCAGATGTTTGTAACTCTTCCCAATCTTTCAATAAATGTTAAAGTGGTTGATTGTTGAAAGCATAAAAGTATTATCATAACCAGTACAAGTACATTAATGTTAGGCCCTTTCATCTGAGTTTCTGCAGTAACAGAATACCTGCACTAATACAGCTCCTCATCCTCAGTAGCATGGGACTTTCTGAATTGCCATTCCTGCCTTTGTGGTTATTTTGTCAAGCAGAGCAGTGAAGCGTGTACCTGAGTTTCAGTCGGTGGGACTTCAGCACCCGAAAATTCTGTTGAATCACTGTCCAAATGAAGACCAACCACAACTATTTTGTGTTCTGATTCCAAAGTGTCAGGCTATTTACTAAGCAGTTTTACTACTGTCCCTTGCTGTGTCTCTTTTTTTGTAGCCTGAGTTGCAAGCACTATTTACTCTCCCCATCTATGGCAGTTCTTAGGCTTTGAGAGATGTTGTATTTTGAAAATCTCAGTCCCTAAAAATTGGCCTCCTAGTTCCAGTGCTGGCAAATGAATTTTAAAATGGACTGTGTTCCCAGGATACTACCCACTGCTGTACTGAAATCTGTGACTGACAAGACCTGTGTTTGAAGTACTTGACTTTGCAACTGAACTGCATTTTAATCTTGGTTCTGTGTATTTAATTATAGGCAATTTAAACTAATATATTCTTGAAAGTACTGTACAGCTGATGATGCTTCAACCTTAATTACTTGATTACTTATTTGCAAAACCTTGTTATTCTCTGTGAAGGACATTAGTACAAAGGCACATAGTTCAGCTACTGTTTGATTTAATTTTATTGGGAACCTTCTGTAATCCATTTTTTCTTAAATTTTGCAGGAGAGAGTGACTAAACTATCACCACGTCCCCATACAGAAGAAGACTTATCCACTCTCTTTGAGGCTTCCTTGAAGCTTTATTAGGTTCAACATTTTGTTTGGAAAAGTGTGCTTTATTCTAACACAAAGGTAATTTCTTACAGATATGGGGCTGAATTTGTTTAGAGAATGGAAGAACTTGTGTGTCTTTGACTTTGGTGCCATTGTACACTGCCAAAAGGTCAAGTAATTAATCTTTAACTAAATAGTGCTCTGAAGTGAAGGCTTGACTGTGGGTTTTTTTCTTGCTCAGTAGTCAGTGGTATTAACTTGCATAAAAGTTGGAGCAGACTTCTCACTTTACTGAAGGCTTTCTTGTGCTTTAGAGGTGGTCAAAGGTAGAAAAATGTTTTAAGGGATATTCCAAAATATTTTACAAATTATGGTTTTTATTAAAACTGTGATTTTGTTTTTAAAAAGTCATGCTATTTAAGAAATAACTGGGAATTTTTAAATAGGGAAGGGGAGTTACCTTGGGGAGAATGTCAGCTTGATGTATTCTGTTTTTTTTACCATCTGGCTTCACTGAGAAGGCTATTGAACTGGGGTACTTTTTGTTGCTTGATTAAGAAAAAAACCTACACACTTCATACATGTTTGGAAAAGGCTTCCTGGAAGTTTACTTTGGGTTAAAATTTTGACAAGTATAGTCAGGTATTTATCTTTCTTTTTAAGATCTATATGAAGCATTTATAGGAGGAGCAAAACCAGAGTAAAGTATGGTCACACACTCAACAGGAACCACGTAATGGCAAGACATCATCCATTATGGTCACTTTGTCCCTGTGGAGGCAACGGCTCCCTTTTCCTCCTGCATTCTGTGGAAAGAAACTATCAACTGTATCTTGCTTCTCTGTGAAGCTATTGCTTCTGCTGAGCTCCTGCAGGTGCTGTCACTCTGAGCACAGCCACCACCTTAAGGAAGTGGCAGTGTGCTGTGGTTCAATATTGAAAAGTGGTGGTGTAGCATATGGCTGCACAGTGCCCCGCTGGGAGAGCTGGTTAAACGTGGGAATGAGTGTGCACGCTCAGAGCAGTTAACCAGCTGGTTGACTGTCAACTGAGAAAGGGAAGTGGGAAAGGGAGAAATGAAACTAAAATTTTAATACTATTATTCTTTTTTTAAAAAGTGCACATGATTGTGTGTACAGTTCATTTAAATCAGATTCTGCTTCACAAAACCCTTTCAGCATCATGCAGCTACCACAGCACCAGACAAATGCAAGAACCACCACAAAACCTCTGTTGTGCTTGTTTCTTTCTGGTAGGGAGGGAGCACTTTTCAGTCATGCTCTTGAAGTAGAAGACCTTTGCATTCTTGTGTTTGTCTGATACAGTTAGTGCCATACTAGAATCTGAGGACAGATGTGTACTGGATATTGACATTGGATCTGTTTTAATGCCCCATTAAAATAGGTGGATGGATACTGGTTGAACACTGGAAACTTTCTTTTTTAACTACAGAATGGGTTTAGTGGCCATAGGGACTGTACTGCCTCAGCCCATGCTGGGGGACATACTTGATTTCCATGTCCTTCTGAATGTTGTCCTCTGCTGAAATTGCCTGCAAGAACCTCTGTCATGACAGCTGATGTTGTAATAGCAAGAGGCAAGGGATTCACTTTATTGTATTGTGCAAAGCTGCCATGTCTGAAAAAAAAACCCCACCTTTTTGTCAAACCTTTTTGTATATAATCTTTTGGCCTGTTTCATCTTTCCACTCCCATTTTTCTGCAGGCCTGAAGAGAGAATCTTTTTTCCAGGAGCCTAATTCATGGCAGCCATGCTGTGTTTGGGGAGAATATACTTTGTGAAGAGCACCCGGGTTTCATCACTGCAGCAGAGCACTTTGATGGGCTAGTCAGGAATGTATGGTATTTCCTTCCAGCACACTTTTTATTTGCCATTTGTGCCAATATGGCAGTTATTAGCAGGTTGCATTTTCAACTGACAGAACCTCGCACTTAACTTGCCATACCAGGTAACCCAGACCTCTTGCTAGTTTTTAAATTAAGTCTCACAGCTCCCCTCTGATATAGTAGGTTTTATCCATATTTTGTAGATGAGACAAAGGGTTTGATGTAATACCTAACCCAACATAAGCAGATGGTGCTGTAAGGAGGGCCATTTCTGTTTCCCACACTCCTTCGGCAGCATCAGGGTCTTTGGCTTAAACCAGTTGTGAAATCTCACTCATGGACATCAGCTACACAAGTGTTCTCCCTCCACCAATTATTAGTTACTGTTGGAAATTTTCTGAGGAAAAATCAAGGGAGTTCAAGTGGCCCCACTGTGCTGTCTTTCAAACAGCGATGGTGTGATGGGGTCACGCCCTGGCTCCCAGGCAATGGTAGTGTTATTCACAACTGAAGAGTTAACAGGGTTTTTTCATGTATTATCTTACAAAATTACTCTGTACTGAGACAACCTTGTTGGTCAAATATATCTGTATCTTTGAAAATGCCTATTTTGTGCACATCAGCCTGGCATTTGTATGGGGAGCTGGGGTGAGTAATTACACTCACTGTAATTGTGAGTGGCCAACAGTGGTTGGGCACCTGTGTGAAATCTGGGCAGCTTGTTCTTGTGGTTCCTGTTACTGCTCTGTTACTCAAGCCCTCCGTGATGGATCTGTTATTGCCTTTAGATGATACTGAAATTCAAATAACAAATAATATTGTACTTGCTGTAAACACAAGCTTGTTTGAAAGAGCGGAGTTTAACTGTCATGTTAACTTCAATCCTGTAAAGTAACTGTGAAGCAAAACCATTCAGAGACAGTGGGCTTTCACTAGCTTCACAGACCACGATGATTCCTCCTGCCTGGTGAGGTTGGTGCTGTGCAGACAAAACCATTGTATTGTGGGTGACAACCGAGAGCAATGGTAGAGACTTTCCAGAAATAAAAGCATCCAAACTGCTGCACAGTATTTCTGTGAACATTTAAGCTGATTTCTGCATGCCTTGCTCTGTGTAATCAGTGCATAGTTACAGCATTGTAATGAAATATGTAATAATACTTATTAATCCTTGTATGTCCTACTTGTTAGGAGTAGGACTTGCTTGAGTCCCTCTAGTTCCTTGTGGAGTCAGAGACTTACTTTCTGCCTTAAACATCTGTAACTATCTAAAAGGATTTTTCAGTCTTTATATAAAAAAGAACAAATGCCCAGTTTATCTAGACCATGGGTTTTAAATAGGTTTTAAGTAAGCATAAATGGCAGCTATTCAGTCATGAGAGGAGAATGGTTTGAAGAGGCTTTAGGGACTCCTGTTACAGTAGGAGTTACCATGTTCACAACGTTGACCTGCTACTTCTCTCCCCTAGTCCTGTATTCTCTGAGTTGTGTGCAGGCAAACACAAACCACCCCCTGGCCCATCTGGTTACTCCCTCAATCCCTCTGCAGTGATAAGGTTAGCTTTGGGGAGCAAGTATGAACAAGTGCACATACAGTGCTGGTGAAAATAGTTTACCAGCGGGTATAGTTTTGCCTGGAGTACAAAACGGAAAGCCCGCTCCCCTCACAAGGTACTGCCAGCTCGCAGGGTTGCTGCTTGGCATCAGTAGAAATGAGGGCAGCTGGTACAATTGTTTGTCCAGCCTCTCTTTTCCCTTGCCTCTTCCCATTCCAGTGCTGATTTTCCCAGCAGTTAAAAAGAGAATGAAGCGAAAAATATGGAACCAACGTGCTTAAATCTGGAGGAACTCTCACCATCATCCTGTGTGAATAAACTTGGAAGAAACCACAGCTAGGTTGGTGCGTATGCTCCATCTTCACTTCAAGGCAATGTGCCAGGGCTGTCCTCTGTCTCGTGGTTGGCTTTCCATCCCCTCGAGACCTGAAACATGGGTGAGAAGGAGTGATGGTTAAGAGACACAGCCAAGCTATGTCTAGGCGCTCTCTGTTCCCCCGAGTAAATCTGCTTAAGCACCACAGTGCTCCAGGACACGTGCGGTATACCTTGGCTTCAACAGCTCCAACCTAATAAATCCCTCTCTGCATTAAGCGTGTCTGTGCAGAAGGGACAAGGGCAACCTGATGCAATGTAGCAGGAGGCCTAAAGGTGCGGTCTCCGTTTTTCCTCAGACCATCCCTGTATGCTTCCTAAATAAAAAGGAACTTAATTTAAATTCAAACACGAGGTAGTGAATACAGAAAGTGACATGACCGTTTTCCTGATCTGTCCAGGAGCTGTAGCTCTTACAGCTGTATGCAGACTGCTTGTCTGCCGCAGTGTCAGCCCTGGCCAGTGAGAAGAGGGTCTCCCACACCTACACCGGCCACCTGCAGAAGAGGTTCCTCTGTGAGCAATGGTGTGGTGGGACTGACAGTGACTGAAGGTCTCAGCTCTCGTTGCTCATGAATTTTTTTTGTTCCCTGGGCAGTTACCTTTGTACTTACCTGCAGTGTACATATGAGAAATCACCCAGGCTCAGTTTGTTACAAAATGTTTAGTGCATATTTTTTGTGTTTACTTGACCATGAAATAAGCAGAAGCTTCTACTCTTGCTCTGAATTTCTCAGTGAAACAGACAAGAAAACCCCAAAACCTGGCCTACCATTAGGAAGGCTGCAGTTCCCTTAGATGCAGCATTTCTGAATGCAGTTTTATATTTTGCCAGTTCTAGACTCCCATTAAATAACCCACCAAAATGCCATTCATTTTCTTTTTTTCCCCATTGTGCTGAAACAGCTGCCATGAGTGAGTTGGTAGAAAACGTTTTACAGCCAAATAACAACAATAAGAGGAAGAACCATTTGACACAGCTCAATGGAATGTTAATCAGGGTCTTGAGTTAACTACTTTCCTAGTAACAGGAGGGGGGACGAAAAAATACTTTCAGTCTTTGGTTTAATTTGAAAAATTACACGTACTTGGTTTTCAGAGAACTTTAAATACAACAAATGGCAGCAGGTATTTTCCTTATTTCTCTGAACGTGGGAATTAAAGGGGGGAAGTTAATGCACATCTGTGAGGTGGCACAGTTAAGTGAAGGCGGGGGAAATGTGACACGTATTCTTTGGAGAGCCATGTTAATTCACGTTACGCTGTAGAGCCACAGAGCTTGGTTCTGCCACCATGTACCCTAGCAGCGCATACGCCACCAAGTCAACTGAGCAGCACCAGAATGATGGCTGTGCCCATGCTGTTGTCTGAGCTCTGGTAAATGTTTAATTTAATCTAATACTACTGTATCATGAAATATATATATATCATAGCACAAACACTGGTTTATTGATGTGGAACTTTTCCTCTGTGTTCCGTGACTTGCAGTGACTTTCACCTACTTGAACAATGCACTTGTGCTTTTCCTGGGGTATGCCATTTGGATGTTTGACCATACAGCCTTAAATTAGCAACTTGACATTGAAATGCTGATTTACACCTGC